AATTTTCTCTATATGTCAGATACTTTGTAGTTTGTTTAATTTTTTGTAGGCACTATTGCATAAACTAATGTAATATAATAATGTATATTAACTAATATAATAATAATAATAATAATAATAATAATAATAATAATAATAAGTTTTCGTTTCTTACCTTTCTGTTCTTCTTTAACTTATATAAATTTTTTTCTTGCTTTTTCAAAATTAAATTAAATGCAATAGTTTTTCAATACTCTATTAATTATTCTTGATATATTTTAATAAAATATTTTAATAATTAATATATTAAATATATTAAAAACATTATTTAACAAATATTATCTTTATAATTTTATATGGAAAATATTAAAACATGGACAATATATTAGTTACAGATTTACATTGTGTAAAAGAGCATTCTGCGTTAGTTTTATATTTTATACATTGAATATCACCGTAGTAGCTATACGACAGTTTTTTTTTATTCACAATCTTTTCATGTTTTTACAAAATCGAATCGATGCTAATATTGTACCGGTGTAACACTTTTATTAATGAGCACCGCTCTCGGTGCTGTTATTTAATTCGATTTCGTGGAGGGTAAACTTTATTTATCGCACCGCACAGACATTGATTAATAACACTGATTGTGAGTATTGTTCTAGTTGCGTATTAGCATGATGTATGTACATGTGCGACTTGATTCTCTACATACACTGGCGTGTACAATTCCCAAATGACTTGTTTTCTGTATTAAAACTATCATGCAGATATATCACGCTACTGTTTGCATAAAGTTGATGCGTACAGTCAGAGATTGCTGCAAGATACACATTTAATGCACATTTTCTGTGCATTAATATTACATATTTCAAATACTTTAAAGAATATTAATTATGAATAAATATAACTGCAGTGTTTATGAAAGACGTCTTAATTTGTATATATGCAAATATTTTGAAGAATCAGTATTTTGGAGAGTCAAATACGATTTGTGCATGAGTTATGTAACATTTAATTCACATTATGTAACAATAATTTAATATAAATTATTGAGAAACGGACTCTAGGGAATGGTAAATGACAGCCAGACCGACCTGTTATTTAAAAGGATCAGATTTGTTTCCGATGTCTTTCCCAGAACTTCAGCTTGTCAATCTCAAATCTCATTTTGTGGACTTGATTTGGTGAATAGATCTCACTGTTCTTTGCTGGTCAATCCTAATTTTTATTTTCAGTCCGAATATTTTGTTATGTTAGCAGAATTTTTCTAGTATTTTCTCTTGAAAATTACGCTATCTTTGTACATTTAATTTTTAAATATTCACTTTATGCTCGTTCGAGAGCTTGAGATTATTTAATTTATCTATCATCACTGAAGATGGCTCAAAGTAGAGCCGAAACGTACGATATTTATAATTAGTATTAAATTATTAATTAAGTGTTACATGACGTTAACTCACACACAACTAACTGCTTTGACTTTTAAAGCCCACTTTTTCTTGTTATTCGTTAATTTTAATATCAAAAGTCTTTGGTTAATTAATTATTTATTTGAAAATCTTTTAATTTAGTACAGATAATTCTTTCTGTTTCTTTTTTCGCTCAAAATTGATATTAGAACAGATTTTCCAATATTAAAATAATATATAACACATAAAAAACAAAATAATATAGGAGCATGATTAAAAGACATCGATAAAAAGTAATCTATATATCTACAATATATATCGCATTAAAAATTCGAAGCGCGTAATTGCGAGATAATTGATTTTCGTTAATGTATTCGATTCACATAAAATTGGTTATCAGCCTTATTAAGTTTTAATCGTTTAAGATTAATATTTTTACAGTAAGGGATGATAGATGCGCCTTAGAATGTTATTTGCAATAAATTTGACCTTTTCATATTTTACAACGAAAATAAAAAAAGGAAACACTTCTTTGATACAAGATTAAATATTACATGTTCCTAATAAAAGAGAGCCCGTAATAGCCGGTTATATTAGGTAAAATATAAAGTTAATTGAAACATTAAATGCGTTAAAGGATTTTTTCCTTTTCTGTATTGGCTTATGCTAAATTTGTTAAATTGTTTGGTAAATTAAAATATATTTTGGAAAAGTTTGTTAAATTAAAATATATTTTGTAAAAGATAAATAGTAAAATAATATAGTGAATCAGCAATTGTAATTAAATAGGAAAAGTCAAATTTTAACATTTACTTTAAAAAATTATATTTTTATAACTTTATTATAAATAAACAAGATTACACACAAATATATGAAGAAGAATAATAATAAAGAAAATAAGATATTATTGAAATATCAACATAATTAAATATTGAAATGTTAAAATCATCATACTCTCTTATCGCTACATTAATTTTTTATACGAAAAAATATTAGAGATGTCTTCTAAAGTCTTAATTAATTGTGTAAAGTTCAATTATTAATACAATTGCAAGCTAATAGCAATATAATATATATTTATTGAGATAGTTAAAAAGATAATTTATATAATGATAATAATTAACAATTATATGTTATATTTAATTAAATCAGCAATGTATTGTTTGATGAATAAGATACATGAAAAGCAAAATGGATGTCAATATGTATGTTATCGTAAACAGTTAGTCAAATAAGGTATCTTAAAAGCGAATCGATAAATTGGTACGGCGACCCTGGAATTTTAATTAACAACTATACGCGCAAACAAAACTTTTAGAATTTAATCTAATACTAAGGTTAATATTGTAAAAGATAAAAGACAGATTAGTAGATAGGAGCATATTAATAGATACGATAAGAATATTAATAAAATTCAAAATTACAGACATATGAGAGAGTATTAAATATACACACGATCTCATATTATCAAAGAAGAATGTAAAATAGAAAAATGTAAAATAGAAAAATAGAAAAATAAAACATAGCTGAAAAATTATATAAATATCGAATAAAAATAAATGGAATACAAGCACATGTGAAATAATATTCTTATGTTCATGAGTAGAGAGAAAAAGAGAGAGAGAGTGAGAGAGACAGAGAGAGAGACAGAGAGAGAGAGAGAGAGAGAGAGAGAGAGAGAGAGAGAGAGAGAGATAATACTTTTTATCTTATGTTATATAAAAAAGTCTACTGTGTGAATAAAATATTTTAATGTGATTGCAATCGATTTTATTTAACATATAGAATGGATTCAACCACAACGTGGCCAATAGTTTCAGCCACACGTGCGCAACGGTATATTGAAGATATAAAGTAAATCAAATGTTTTAGATTTTATTGAAAAAGCGAAGAGTGCACAATGGAGGAGCAAAATAATAGTAGTAAAATGATATGAGGTTAAAAAAACAATACGAAATAAGAGGAGAGAAAGGTCGATTTATTGGAATATATTATATTATAGTACATTTACAGCACGCTTTACTCGCTTCCTGAAACGTGTGAAATGGGTACGATTCAGTACGTTCGACTATCTCTACCAGAGATTGCATTCGGTATCGATTGCATACAAATGATACCAAAGTTAAATGGCGACGTTCTGCAAGTGTTTTCTTCACGGCTTACGTGCGGCGATTTCGACGCAATGGTAGCTTTTTCCCCGCGTGTCACCATTAAAAAGGATCTATGGAACTAAGTGTCTGTGTGTCTCTATTTTCTCGACGTATTTCAGGATTAGCCGCGTAAACCCGCGTATGTCGACGGAGAAACGATTGTTTTATCCTGTATAAAATAAATCGATGAAGAAAACGGACTAAACCGCATGTGTTGTGAAAAGATATAAATTTTTATTTTGGAGAAAATAGCTTAGGAGAAAAAGTAGCTTAACCCTCCGTAGTCACACCTATTTTTTCAAACAAGGAAGTCACTCTAGGTCATTTTGACCCGAGACGAACTTTGATCGTTCGCCATTTGACCATTTATCCACCGATCGTGTTGAAAAAATTCTCAAATGCACTTGCGATATTGCTAAATTGATTGCTATAAAAAAAAAAAGTGCCTCAGGAATTTTTAACATATAAAAAAAATTCACGAAAAATTTGTTTAAAAAAAAAATTTTTTTTTAAATACAGCTAGAGAGCGTCATGCCCGCCAATTTTCAAGTTACGCGCAAGATATTTACGAGCAAAGTTGAGGCTCGGGTCAAATTGACCCAGTTTGACTACGGAGGGTTAATATACTTATAGATAAATATGGATATTAAATATCAGATACACGTTTATAGTTTATATATAAACTATTGATTGAGTTTATAAATTGAAATTATAATAAATAATAATACTTTTTTTATAAAATACAGAAAATATATACATAAACTCTTGTTTAGTTTGTCTCTGTATTTTTCTATGATGTATAATTGATCTTACTTTTGATGAATCTTACTTTTCATAATTTATTATTATTATATAGTTACATAAAATCTATTATATTTAATTTATCTGACTGATAATTTACAACGAATATACTTTCATACAAAAAGAAAATCTTAAACAGTATTTCAAATTAAGCAAATTATTTTGTTGTTTAGAAATTTAGAAAATATTATACAATAAATAAATAACATTTTTATCTAATTATTTAATTATTTAATTATTATTGTTATTTATACGCAGGCTGAAAAATGCGTGTTTACTCGTTTCTCTGGTATATAAGATTCTATGGTCTTTACGCAGTCAAATTATGTAAATTATGGCTTAAATATCGCAAAATTATTGTAATGCGCTGAATATGACCCGAAGAAGAGAGAGTCGAAACGTACGCGAGTCTTAATTAATTGTAATAAAGGAGTTTGCACAAGAACAACTGTGCCGGGCTCTTATTGCCAAAATTACGGAATATATTGAAATAATATTTTTGTATATTTACAAATTTTTCGCAAATTAAATTATAATAACTTTACATGGTTGATATTAAATATAATATTACGCGCGCGGGCGAAAAGGGGAGGGGAGAAGGGGGGGAGAGAGAGAGAGAGAGAGCGCTATGTGAGTAAAGAAAGTAATGAAAACTTACCTGTCAAATGAAATTACGACGAGAGTAAAAACGCTAGAAGCGACGGTCACGTGTGCTACAAAGTTGTTGATGGTGCAATACACCATTCCGAAGGGCCAATTAGAGTTGAGGAGGAAGATAAAGTTGAAGGCGCAGTTGAGCAATGACATCATAAGATCCGCAACAGAAAGATTTACCAAGAAGTAATTAGTTACAGTACGCATTCGCCGATGAGCTGAAACAGAAGAAAAAAAAAGGGAAATCTGTAAAAATCATGTTAAGATCTTTACTCCCGTGTTATAGTGGAGACGTTTTAATACTCGTTTCTAACTTTTTTATTTCTATTTTCTGTTTATAAATTGCGAACTTCCCGCAGAAGCATTATTGTGACTTTAGTCTTATAGTGTTACTTAAATAGCTGTGACTATATATATAACAGTGAATTTTTCCGCTCACGTTCCAGCAAATCATTAAAATTCTAAACATTTATTGTTACAAGAAATCCGCATCTTTAAAAATAAAACATCTGTACTTGATATTCCTTTTTTCCATCTCTCTCTGTTATTTTTCTTACAGAAGCTATCGTGTTATGAAAAAAAAGAGTGAAAATAAAAAAATTATTATCTCTCACATTGACTACATAAAATCGAAGCTTATTTCTGTTCACGAGATGTGTTATAACAAACATGATTCCTTGAACATAATTAATTTGTTGTTTTTTAAACATCTCACAGTTAATATAATTATATTTTTGAACAATTTTTTATGGAAAGATGCTTTCAAAACTTATTTTGTTTTAATCACTAACTACATTTTAATTCTATAATTTGTACTAATGCAAATAGTATTGTTTTTTTAATTAAAATATACTATACGTCAAAAATATATAAATTAAATATTATATTATTGTAATGCTTAAAAAAAGTTACGATGTGAATTTATACCTTTATACATGTAAGGACATGTCACATGCAAAATAATGTTTTCTAATATCACGGCAACTAATATCTAGAAACAGCACTTTTCCATTTTGCTTATAATCTAAATAGCACTTGGTGATTTAGAGAAAATTGTTATTATGCTCGCCGTATCCGCTAACGATACCTCACGGTGCTTAAATTGATAAACGATATACGATACGCCAGGCAGGATATATATATGCGTACACTAAATATCTATTAATAAGAAAACAAATAATGTGAAATATTTCACATTACTTGTTTTTCGTGAGTAATCTAATACCTTTTGCGAGAAATATTAATGCTAAAAACTTTATCAAGTAATAAGTTTAAAAAGTTAAGAAAACTCATGTCGTAAAAAGTATAGAACTATAATATATCTTAGTGATGTACGGCGACAAAGATTTAGATGTGCAATTTGAAGTTAAAAATTAGAAATTAATTTGATATTTTCAAAAAATATAAGCATTTAGATAAGAAATTTGAAACACTAACAAGTTTTGGTTTATTTCTTTATATCATTTGATTATTATTTATTTCTCGGTAATTCTTGATATATCTACTTAACACATATTTCAAATATGTAAAACAATATTTACTGCAAGCTATAATTTGACACGTTAATGCATCAGGGTTTTTAAGTTGCTTTATTCAAAAGAAGATTAATTGATTAAATTTTTATAAAACGTTTATAAAAACTATATATTCTTTTTCCACGTATACCTACATTTTATATTTATATTATGTAAATAAATTGCATACCTACATGTAGAATGTATATAAAAAACAAACTAATAACGTTACAAAATGTTCTCTCAAACATTTATTTCTCTGTGCTGTCTTTCCGTGTTTTAATTAATTCTGTCTAATTAGTAATTAAATTTTTCTTTGTTTTATTCTTTGCAAGTTTATAGCCGCAATTTTTATGAAAGCTGTATCCTCGATAAACAGCGGACTGACATCTGTGCTATGCCGAAAAGAAATTTTTACCGTATATACCTACAAAATTAAGTTACAAGATTTTTAAAATACAATTTGTTTTTGCCAAACGTGAACTCTCTTGATTTACGGTGTTTACTGTTTTGCAATTTGGATAACAGTGAGTACAAGTCGACTGACGAACTTTTTCTATGATGTGTGACGATAACTTTTGTATCATTTATCACTTGAGCAATTTTTCACCGTGCAAATTTTTCTCTATTGTAATATAATAAAGTTAATTTGCCATTTACCTAATAATTACACTTTATTGGCCAAATTAATATTATAATTTTATTAATATTATAATTTTTCTGTACGCAATTTGAGAATGCAAAGAATATTTGCACACGCAAAGGAAGGATCTCTTTTGTTATGTTAACTGCTTATAAACTTGATTTAACTATGCACTTCTTTTGATAGAAATGTAAATAATATTCTTGTTACACAAGGTCAATGGTGATACTTGAGAATGCATCCATCGCATATAATGAGCGCATGTTTTTCTCTTATTGAGATGGATTTATTTCATTTCTAAGAACTCTCGAAATCGATATTTGATAGCTGTCTGCTATCGTACTTATGTAGTAATTTTACTAACCAGCCATTGCAATATCTTATATAGGTTTTATTCAGGAAATTTAGACTGGACATTTATTAGAAACATATTAAAAACATTTATTAGGAAACCAAAACTTCTTTTTTCAAATATATGTATAATGTGTTTTTAAAAAATCGATTGTCTAAAATTAGATTTTCCAGAAATTAGCGTTAAACGGCCAATCGTTTGAAAATAGATTATACGTTAAATAGATGTAAAATGTATGTAAAATAGATTAATTATCAGACGTTATCGATTTATTCTGTAGTGAGATTTTCATAAACACGGATACATTTATTCTCAAAACTGTAAATTTCGTCGACTGTTAGCAGTAATCTGCATCAATAGTGTGTTCACAAAACAATGAATATTTTATTTTATAGTTAACAACAAGAGAGAATATAATTTATTATTTCTGAAACAAATACATATTCAGCTCTCCTGTACCTATGTAGACATACAAAAACAATAACTGAAGAGCATTTCTTATTTGCTAATTTACATTCTGTAAGATTTCTAGGTCGTTGAATTTTGTGAAAGCTATAATCGAGTTTATGATATGCATCTTTTATGTAAACGTAAATTATACTACTGATTTTACTACGCGATACGTGTTCTAATCACAAAAAAGAACAGAACTTACGACTATCGTGCGATATATTTTCATACGTAAAGTAGTCGTTTGCGATCGATGTGATAATCGTACACTTCGTAAATGCAATTCGTAGATAAATATAGTTAAAATTTTCTTTTATATAAACAAGTATCTTAATTACAAATTTAAACTTGCAGAATTTTAATTTCAGAAACAAAACTAGTAATTGGTTTCTTTTCGATTCAATTCTTGCAATAAAAATATGATTTGTATTTGAAATTTATACTGACACTTAATTAAAGAAAAGGATTTTAATTCAAACTATGAACTATGATCAATCAGATTGTGTGGAATCCTTTAAGACACTCATCGTGTAACGTATTTCCCTGAAGGATATCAGTGGAGATTTAAATTGTCGCAGCTTGGAATTTTCGCTTCTGAAATTCTTAGCGAAATTGATCTTCCATGAAGCTCATGCAAAGTTATTATCGAGCCAGAAGCTTGCATGTAAAAAAACGAAATACTTTTGCTTTATTAAGAGTTGTTAATTTATACATAAAGCTTTGTCAACCCTAAAATCAATTAAAATATGTATATAATATGTAAAATAAATAATAATTATTTAAAAAATAATGCACGAAAAATTTATACATTAAAATTGCCACAAATAAAGTAAAATATTAGTCTCTCGAGAAAATGTTTTGCTGTTTTTTTCTCAAAACTGAAATTTCTCTTTTTGTTCTTTATCTATACGAGAAAAATGTAAAGAAACGTAACTTATCTTGAATATTTTTTTCAACTTTGTTTATGCTTTGGAATATTATTAATTCAAAAAAGAGAAGGATATAAATATTAAATATATAAACTTTTATGAAAAGAAATTACAGAAATCGAATATTTGTTTATTAATTCCTTGCAAAAAAAGAATATAAGAATATTAATATTAACAACAGAGATCTTTATTGTGTTCACTGATATACATATAACTGAAACTGTGTATTACACTATAGGCTATATACGATATTCCCTGAGTTCCGTAAAGCGCATATGCGCGCATTTATCTATAGCATACGTAACGTTTACTATTAGAAAATGCGCGCATGCACGCTTTATACGGAACCCAGGGATTACCTACACCTAAATTTAAAATATTGCATTTTTTCAAAATTCTCATTAGTAAGGGAGTATTTCATGAAGATATCTTAATTATATATCTATCGATTTGCTAAAAACTAAATAAGATTTTATGAAAAATAATATGTGATAACTTTTCGAGATATAGATTTCTCGATTACGCTACAGCGGACAATGAAAATCGACCGTTTGTGCATAGCAGACGTAAGCGGATTGCAAGCCTACCCATGCAGAAACCTCAATGCTGTGGAAATTTGTAGTATAGATGATTTACGAATTAACGATAATTGGATGAAAGGCTTGAAATTCATAAAATAACATTTGATTTCTAAATATTAAATAAAAATTATTTCTTATTCTCGTTTTTACAAATTTTTAGTTTAATTTTTTTTTAAATTGTGAATTATTGTCTGTCTTATAAGTTATCCCATATTTTCAGTTATCCCATCCCATATATTCCGTTTTAATTTAACAACTTAGACATTGGCTTTCTAAAACTTGATTTAAAACATATGTATTAGATATGAATATTAATAATGACACTAATTGTAAGAAATAAAGTAAATTACCATTTACGCTATATACGAATATTCGTATAACATTAAAAATAATCTATAAAATGTAATTTAAATATTGAAGATAGTGACAGTGGTTCCCGAGGTGGTTTCTATGCGAGTATGCTATGTGAGTATACTACAAATCGCTCGATTTATGGAAAATATGGGATATGAGAGGGAAATATAATTTAATATAGAGATGGGATAAAAGGAGAAAAACAACGGATAAGGTACTACCTGCAGCAAGCTGTCTTAGCTTTTAAATTCCTATATCGAAAATGGAAATAACAAGGCTAAAATTAATAATCATAAAAATTGAATTATTAGCTAAAGTTAAAAACAAGACCATAGTATACATTATATTCCGTAAGTTAAATAATTTCTGGTAGAATACTTGTTGAATATCTTTTG